AAACACTGCCATTCACTGTCTCCTCAGCCTTGTGTGGAAACAGGAGCGCTGTTGCTCTCACTGTATCTGGCGTGCATTCTAATTACCCATTATTTATGGTTGAACTGGATGGACTTTTTGTCTTTTTTCAATCAGACTAACTATGTAACTATATAACTATTATGACGGCCCGGAACTGACATCACCAAAATAGGAAGTGTTAGCCAAAGACTCAATGAATTTCGCCTGCTCTGATTTCCTCATAAAGCTCTCCGGCTAGAGCCTTTTACTGATTGCAACACTAATTAATATCCACAATACTGACTGGTTGCATTGTTATAAGAATGGGTGGACAATACATATAGGACAAGACCAAGAAAAATTTTAAACCAAAATAAATGAGAAGACATTACAAACTAGCAGAATAATGTTATAAGTTATAACAAACCCTCAAATGAATCTGCGCCACTATAACAATCCAAATGGATATTTACACACAACAAGATACCCCATAGGTAATAAGCCTATAAAGGTTAAAACTTAATATTATTTTAGGGATTATAAGACCCTTAGAAAATCCCATTCTATCTGATGTTTTACATGCCCTCGTGTGGCTCAAAGTATAGAGTAAAGAGTGCCCACCCAGTAGGCCCATAATAAGTGATAAAGATTCGCCTTTCTCACATCTGGGGGAGTATCTAAACATTTATCTACAACCCCTTGCGAGTAACTGTAAATCCTTTAGCAGGATAGCAGGGATCTTATGACCTCATTACAGGATATCCCAGTAGGAGAAAGAAGGAAATCAGTTACAGTGGATAGACGACGTTCAGCTATTCAGCTATTAAATGGGATTTTAATCAGACCTTTAATGCCCCAAATTATGCTTATTTTAGAAGGCTTAGAAATGGCCATAGGGAATAATTATTTTTGGCACAAGCATGAGTTTTACAACCAAATTAATGGAGTAGCCATAGAGGCTAGATTTGCACCGTGTGTAGTGAATTTTTAATTTTTGGGAAGACCTAGCCACAATAAAAATGTTATGAAAGATGACAAAAAGATGACATCATACTGATCTGGGAGGGTAGAGAACAAGATTTAAAAACTTTTCTCCTTTTACCTTAATCAAATCAAATATGGCATTAGATTTACGGGAACCTGAAGTAGACAGAAGGCTAATTTTTTTGATATAGAGATCAATAAATATAGAGGTAGGTTACTGAAACCAGTTGGAATGAGTACATATCAGTATGTAGCTGTCATCACACAAACTGGATCTGAGATATACCAAAGGGCCATTTTATGCATATTAAATGTAATTGTGATCAAAAAGACGATTTTCTGGCGCAAACAGATATCTTAACCAGACTTACAGAAAAGGGGTATTCTAGATCTGACCTAGAAAATACATGTGAATTAGTGAGGAATATGGATAGGGAGGCATTGTTACAGAAGAAAGAGAGATCCCCAACAAAAGTTTGATATGGGCATTTTAACAGGCTTTAATACCCAATATAGGAATGTAGAATTAAATATAAAAATCTTGGTCTATATTGCTTAGAGACCATATGTTGAGGAATATTTTCCCTAAAAAGCCGTGGTTTAATACAAGCAGGCCCTGGTTTTAGAAATAGATTAGCATGGAATGTACTTGCCTCCAACAGAACAGTTATGCTTCTTGACCAAGTGGGATTTTATAGATGTAGAAGATGTCTGGCATGTATGACCAACAACCACAATACGGACCGTAGGATTGAAGAATTTAAGTCATCATTTACAGGTAAGAGTGTACCTGCGTTCTCCAATATGTAGGTAGGATGACTAGGAAGCTATCGACACATATTAATGAACACACTAACAACATAAAAATGGATTTAGGAAACATAGCATGTCTGATCACTGGCTAGCACATAATTGGGATCCAGGCTGCCTCAGGTTCTACAGAATTGACAGGGTTTATGAACATTGGAGAGGCAGTATCCTCCAAAAACAAATATCAAGAAAGGAGACCAGATGGATTATGAATTGAGTACCCTGGTCCCACTTGGCCCAAATATAGATATAGATCTGAATTGTTTCCTGACCTAGAGCTTGTTTCCTGAGCTTCTGAGATGTTGTTATTATTTGTTATGATTTTTTTAGTGGTGTCAGACTAATATTTAATAGAACCTTTATAGCCTAGGTGCAGCTTACTTTTCAACCAGAAGATGGCGTGTAAAATTTGAAAAATGTATAACTTAGGTGCAGTATACTTTTTAGCCACATGAGGGCACGTAAAACATCTTAGTAGACAGAATGGAATTTGTTAAGGTTTTTTTACTCCCTAAAGTACTACACTATGAGATTTTCTTTCAGTTCGTATGTGCCTGGTGTCCACCTGTTAGGAGGAGGAGGCAGTGAATGGCAGTGTTTTTTTCCATGGAGTTTCATGTGATCAGCATAAAGGGGAGAGTAAGAGGTGAGGAGGAATTAACCTATAACCTTTAGTGCATATTGACCCTTTTTACAAAGAGGTCATGGATAGCTGGTGTGTGAGGATCTAAAAGCTTGGGGTGATCACTGCGTGGTGGTGTGGAGGAAATTACCATATTGGATTCTGCATTTTCAATGGAAATTAAGAAACTTCTAAAATCAAGTTTTAAAATAAAATAATAAAAGACTCACTGCACAAAAGAACTTTAAGCACAGTTTCATTGATATATGTAAAGAACATTTGCATATTGACAATATTCATCACAGAGTATGTAGCTTCATCCTTATATCTTAGGGATTTTACACAGCATAGCCACACAGGGGATCCCGGCATCCTAGAAGCACCTTAAAGTGATTTTAAACCTTGATATTTTTCTTTTTTTAAATAACAAACATGTTATACTTCTCAAAAACCCGTGGTGTCACGCTCCACTAACAATACATTAAATAAACGTATATTAAATAAATTATTAAAATATATTGCAATCATATAACAAGCGACTGAGTCCTAATAAATTTCCTCGGCGTGATATTACAATCACGCTAGTGCTGCATGCATATCTTCAAAAAAATCCTCAAATGAATCCTCAAACAATCCGTGATCCTATGGTGTCTTCTAATGGTATATTACCAAACAAATATAGTCCACCAATTCATATATATTGTGCTCCTCGCCAGTTGTGCTCTCACCTGACATATATGACCAAGCCGTTAAGTGAGGTAATACAAGCTTGTGTCCCTTTAATTGGGCTCAGAGGTGGACAAATGAATAAATCCCTGTATCCCAGATGGATGAATGGAGTTTTTTCCTTTTTCCCAGCAGGGGGTGTTACCCTTACCTAGAGATCCTTTTCTTGGAGGCAGATGGATGGATGGAGTTATCCCTCTTCCCACTAGGGGGTCTCTTGACTCCTTTCAAACTCTTTCCTCCATGTGTATAAGTACAGTCCACTTATAACATCCAGTGCACTAGATTGATCCCTTGTTTACATTTCCATTCCAATAGTGTATATGAATAAGTCACTGATCACGTGATGAAACCAGTCAGGAGAGGGGGCCCACTAGACATCATTATGGCTGGCAGTGTCAGTGCAGCTATTTTAAACACTACTCCAGAAATATACATTCCTAAGGAGGAAATTTACTATTGGAATGGAAATGTAAATAAGCGATCAACATATTTGTTTGGTAATATACCATTAGAAGACACCATAGGATCACGGATTGTTTGAGGATTCATTTGAAGATACGGTATGCATGCAGCACTAGCGTGATTGTAATATCACACAGAGGAAATTTATTAGGACTCATTCACTTGTTATTTGATTGCAATATATTTTAATAATTTATTTGATATATGTTTATTTAATGTATTGTTAGTGGAGCGGGACACCACAGGTTTTGATTTATTTAGACACATTGGTATGAGTATGTGTATAGTGTAGGCGACCCACTCATTTATTCATTCATTTATTTACCTATTCATTTATATATTCACTTAATCGCGTATTAGTTTAATTATTGCACATATCAAACATACATGATATATAAAAATATTTGGTAGATTATATTTATATATTCCACTTAATATAAATACACCATAGTAGCTCACAAGAATCACATTTAGAAATGTTATACTTAGCCTGCAATCCCTGAAGACACTCGTTAGAGAGAAATGCGTCAGTCAGGGCTGGAAACGTGATCGCGCACGCCGGTGGGAGAGCCAACAGTGCTTCCTGGTACTGAGATGCATTCAATTTATGTGGCACTGTAAGTGTATTTGCTTAAATTAACAGAAGCGGTTTTTACATATTACACTGTGAGAGTCCCCCTCTGTACTTATTTCTCTTGTTGAGTGCATTGGGATTTCTGGCTGCAGGACAGGAAGGCGTTGTTTGGTCTTTCTCTGAGATCATCCCATGTGGTAAGGAGTTTGTGTTAACTCTTGGTTGAGTGGTTTTGAGGCACTATTTCCTACATTTGCACCTGGCTGATATCTGCTGGCACTAAAGATATTCTTTGATTTTTTTTATGTGGACTTTAAAAATGGGACTTTTTATGTTGCACTTTTGGTGGTTCATTTCACTGTTATCACTATACATTTTATTATTATGATGTTTATATTTGGTTTATAATGATTGTTTACTATGTATCATTTATATTGATTCCTATTTAAAGGGGCAGCACATTTTATATTTGTTTATGTAAAAACGAGTTATACTTGATTTTGTGCTATGGTTTTGCAGAGAGCATCCCCAATCCTCCTCTTCACGGGTCCCCCACCAGCGCTCCTGGCTCCTCCTTTTCTTGGTGTGCCACCATAGGACGATGATTCCTGTTGCGGCACTCCTGCAAACTCACTTCCAAGCCAGCTCTGTGTGCCTATAACACACGTTCCCTCTTCCCTTGCTGTGATTGACAGCAGCGGGAGCCAACAGATGGATCAGGATTCTGGTATGAGGTATAGTGGTGATCAGGATGCAGGTATGGCTTATAGCAGTGATCAAGACACTGGTATGGGATATGGTGTGATCAAAACGCTGGTGTGGTGTATGGCAGTGATAAGGATGCTGGTATGAGGTATGACGGTGATCAGGACACTGGTATTGGTTGTGGTGGTGATCAGGACACTGGTATGGTGTATGGTAGTGATCAGGATGCTGGTATGGGGTATGACAGTGATCAGGTTGCTGGTATGGGGTATGGCAGTGATCAGGTTGCTGGTATGGCAATAACTAGAGTGCTGGTATGGCATATGGCAGTGCTGGTATGGGGCATGGCGGTGATCAGGATGTTGGCTTGGTGTATGGTGATAATCAGGACACAGGTATGTGGTATGGCATGATCAGGACACTGGTATGAGGTATGGTGGGGATCATGATGCAGGTATGAAGAATGGCGGTGATCACGATGCTGGTATGAGGTGTGGTGGTGATCAGGATACTAGTATGGGCTATGCAGTAATCAGGACATTGGCATTGCATATGACGATGATAAGGACGCTGGTATGGCATATGGCAGGGATCAGGGTGCTGGTATTGGGTATGGTGGTGATCAGGACATAGGTATGGTTTATAGTGGGGATCAGGACACTGGTATGGTGTATGGTGGTGAGCAGGATGCTGGCATGAAGTATGGTGGTGATTGGGACACTTGTATGAGGTATGGCAGTGATCAGGATGCTGGTATGGGGTATGGCAATGATCAGGACGCTGTTTTGGGGTATGGCTAAGATGAGGATGCTGATATGGGGTATGGCTGCGATCAAGACGCTGGTATGAGGTATGGCAGTGATCAGGAAGTTGGTATGTGGTATGGTGGTGATCAGAACATTGGTATGGTGAATGGTGATGATCAGGACACTAGTATGGCAGTGTTACTGTGAGCAATGGTGACACTGGGACAGGTGACGGGGCTGGCTGCACTGTTTCTTGTTAATACACTAAGGCAGTGATCAGGGACACTGGGACAGGCTGCTGTACACTCACACAGTGCAGGATCACTTCTCTCTGCTCTCACAGCTCATCTCTGTGAGAGTAAGAACTGATGTTTACTTTCACTTTGCTATGTTTACAATGTGATGGGTGTGATTAGACAGATGGACCCATCTCTCTGCTTTCATTATGTTGTTCACTTTGTTAATTCATTCAGATATCTATGGTGGTAGATCCAGTGGAGGGGGATTATTGTTTTTGCAGTGTTACTTAAGAAAAGATTGAAGCAGTGTTTATATTGTTTCTACAGAGAGAGGTAAGATGAAAAAGAATAGGCAAGGAGTCATGTGGTAAATTGTCACCTATGCTATTTTCTAAGATTTGACATATGGAGACCCAGCAAGTTTTAATTTTAGGACATTTCTACTATATGTGGAGGAATATGCCATGTTGGGCACAGCCCCTCGAGCAGGTGTCAGGAAGGCTTAGGAGATGTGGGCTAGCTTAGTTAGCTCACAAACTGGAGTTTATACAATGCTGAACACAGTACAGCCAGCATGAGACCCATGTGATCCATTGATGTGTCTGTTTACACCAGCCTGCATCTGATCCGATCCCATCCGCTAAAAACAGACAGATGGGGATCCGTTACGTATCCGTCTGGTAGATTGGATGATACTCAAATGAAAACAGAAAGGTGGTCGGTTTCCATCCAACAGCCCATAGAGGACAGCGGGCTGTGTCCTTGTCCACTCTGCATAAGCGGAGATGACACAGACCTGTCATCCACTTGCTTAGCGGGGCTCAGCGGGCAGATACCTTCGCTGATCAAAAGGATCCACTGACAGGTCGGCCCCGTGTGAAAGGGGCCTACTTGGTGAAATGCACATTCACTTCTTTATAAACAGACCTCGAACTGTGCGAAGGAAGGGGAGTGAATCATATGCTCCCCTAGAACTGGAAGTACTGGGTATTTCTCTTTGCTCCTGGTGGCCAAGTGAAGCAGTGAGTGAGTGAATGGAGGGAAGCTGAGTTTTACCATTACAGGTAACTTTTAAATAATCCAAAATTAAACAGACCTTATTGTATGGGTAGCATTACACTGGGGATTTTAGTTGATCGTGCCTACTATAAAAATGCTAGTAATTGTTAAGTACAGTGATCACTATTTTGATGGAAATAATGCCTCCCCATAGTATATACAATACTAACAGCATGTAGTAGTATGTAGATAGGTGCAGTGTGGTGTGGTAAGTCCGGTTGCCACAAAATTTGTCCGGTTGCCACAAAACTTGTATTAAACAGAATTCCAGTGATACAGACACCCTGGTGGGAGAATACCGCTAGGGAAATAACTCACAGTTCAATGTAGTCAGTAGTGTAGGAGAGGTTCCGACAGCATCTGTTTCAGAGAGTGAAGTACAGCCTGGCCGGTCCAGTCCCAAGAGGGAAGCTCTTTTCCAGGATAGCGAGTCCCTATTCTTTCCATCCTCACCAGGAACCTTTCCCTACCGCTAGTTTCTTTCCCTAACAAGTGGGGTCTCTCTCCCTACACTAGCTACAAGCCAGAAGCACACCAAAACCCAGGGGCAGGGACTTAAATAGACCCTGTGGACCCAAGATTACCACTGAGGGTCACATAGGTGCAGTGTAGCCAAATGGAATGCTGCTCCATTGATCCAAGAAACCAGAGAAACATTGTTCCTCTTGGACTTCCTCTCTAGGCTGAGGTGCCACTCATTCTTTTTTTCTTTTGAACCCTTGATGTGGTGCGCAAAAACAAAACACCAAAGTGTACAAAAAAAGTGCAAGCAAACATACATAAAAAAGTGTGCTAGGGTAAGTCAAATGGTTCCTTTCCAAAGAGGAAGGGCAGCAAGACTCCTGCAAGGGATAAGACACACTGCCGTTAACCTAGATTAAAGGCCCAATGGACCCCGCTCCTTATGATCAGATGAAGCTGACCAACAAGTACTGGAAGGGGGGTTCTCCTGAAGACAGACTCCCCCAGGGAAGGGGAAGATGGAACCTAAGGGTCACATATCCTCCCCATAGACTTCAGGGTAGGCCCAAAGACTCACACCCTATAACTAAGGAGTACCTTTGACGCCCATACTGTTTGACGGATACTGCTCTTCGTGGTGAGACAGAGGATGGTGTGGAGTGTGATCTGACCGGAGCTTTGATGCCAGAGACATTCTGAAAAGTTTACTTCTCTACATGCGTATTATATACGCACTTCTGGTGAGTGCGCACTCTATTCGCTCCTAGGATTCTTTTCACCCTTCCTACAACCATTGACTTGGGATGTGGACTGTGTGTGTGCTTTAACGTCTATTGATTAGCGCACTGTTTACCTACTTTTTTGAGCATTTATATTTATATTTATATGCATACATACCTTTACAGAGCATTCCTTTTGCACTCTGATTCAAGCGCTGCACCTATCTTTCTCCTTTTATTGATTATTGTAAGGTTGTTTGGTTACCTTTCTTGGTGTTCTAGCTGCTTACACTAATTTGCTTGTAGCGCTCGCTATACCTTTGTTACACCTATATGATATTATGATTTGAGTATTTTAATTACTTCAGTTGCTTTGTATATATCTATTTAACATTACACATGGACAGTGATGACTAATCAGATGCCGGCCAGATCATACTTGCATCGCTACAAGGAGAGGTCAGAAAGCCACAGAGATTTCAAATCCCCAGACCTGTGAAATGACTTTCTCCCCTCTCCTTGCAAGGATGACAGTTTGGGCCCGAACTGTCATACCTGCAAGGAGAGGAGAGAAAGCCGTGGGGATTTCGAATCCCTGACATTTTCTCTCCTCTCCTACCACTGAGAATATGGAGCATCTGCCTCCATAGTATACATACCCACATTCCCACTCTCTGCTGTGGGAAACCTCATGCGATTTGCACAGAAATCACATTCCTGTTTAAATCACATGCTATTCTTTGCGGTACAATTTGCGTCTATACATTTTGTAACGAGGGGCATAGATAAGGGGGGATCAGGGGGATCTGAACCCCCCCAGAAGAGAGTTGTCATCCATCCCTGGCTGCAGGCTGCATCCCTTGGAATTTTGGCTGGGCAGTGAGAAGAACACAGCGGCAGGCAATCCTTCCACCCCCCTGCCTCCCCTCCATCCCTCCACCCTCCCCTTCCATCTCCCCCCTTCCCATCCATCCTTCCACCTCCCCCCTCCCTCCCATCCATCCCCCACCCCCCCTTCCCTTCCATCCTTCCACCCCCCCCCCTCTTCCATCCTTGCACCCCCCCCCTTCCATCCTTGCACCCCCCTCCCTTCCTTACATCCTTCCACCCCCCCCCCCCCCATCCTTCCCCCCCCCCCCCACCCCTCCCTTCCTTCCCCCCCACCCCTCCACCCCTTCCCTCCCCCCCACCTGCCCACCCCTCCCTTCCACCCACCCACCCCCTTCCCCCACCCCCCCACCCTTCCTTCCATCCCCCCCTTCCTTCCATCCCCCCCCCCCCCCCCCCCCATCTTCTTTCCTTCCCCCCCTCCCCCCACCTTCCCCCCCCCTTATTTCCTTCCCCCCCCCTCCCCCCCCCCCCCCCCCCCCCCTTCCTTCCACTCACCCTTCCCCCCCCCCCCCCCTTCCCCCCCCCCCATCCCCCCCCCCCCCCCCCCCCCCCCTTCCCCTCCATCCCATCCCCCCCCCCCCCCCCCCCCCCCCTTCCCCTTCCCCCCCCCCCCCTTCCCCTCCCCCCCCCCCCCCTACCCCCCCCCCCCCCTTCCTTCCCCCCCTTCCCCCCCCCCCCCCCCCCCCATCCCCCCCCCCCCCCCCCCCCCACCCCCCCCCCCCTTCCCCCCCCCCCCCCCCCCCCCCACCCCCCCCCCCCCCCCCCCCCCCCCCCTCCCCCCCCCCCCCCCCCCCCCCCCCCCCCCCCCCCCCCTTCCCCCCCCCCCCCCCCCCCCCCCCCCCCCCCCCCCCCCCCCCCCCCCCACCCCCCCCCCCCCCCCCCCCCCCCCCCCCCTTCTCCCCCCCCCCCCCCCCCCCCCCCCCCCCCCCCCCCCCCCCCCCCCCCCCCCCCCCCCCCCCCCCCCCCCCCCCCCCCCCCCCCCCCCCCCCCCCCCCCCC